TAGATTCTGTTGGAGTGGTGGCAGCTGTGCTTTTACTTGAGGTGGTGGTCACAGTAGTTTGAGAAGTAGTAGAAGTTGTTCCAGGTACAACAACTACAGGCTCTCCATTGTTTGTGGGGAGTTGGATAACAACGGAGGAGCTGCCATTTCCCGTATTATTTACGAGGCATATTATGAGTACTCCTATCGCTGTTGTTATCACACAAGCTAACAGACAAGCCAGGAATACTTTCCACAGAGACCAGTCATTGCAGCAATTTCTTTTTACCTAAGAAGAGTGTAAATTAAAATATCAGTAATGAAAACAAGAATGCATGTGGTGTATCATCTGTCTTGTACTGTTTATAGCTTTATTACATAATAATGTTTGAATCAATATGTGTCTCTGAAGTTCATGCATAAAGTTCAGATTTTTATCCAGGTGGAAGTAATTGCTTGTTTTTCCTAACATTAGAAAGAAGATAAATCTGCCAATATCTCATCTTCTCTTATTCTATGTGCCAGTAGGACTCTCTTTATTTATCTCTTTTAATAGGCTTTTTTTTTTTTTTGGAGAGATTTTCACTGTAGGGCGCGTGCGCTCGCCAGACAGACAGAGAGAGACATAGAGACAGAAAGCGAGAAATCACCCCCCAGGGGGGATGGTCACACCGCAATCCCTTCTCCTCCATTCTCCTCTCGGGATCTTGGGCACGCACGCACACGCGCCCGGCGTGAGTTTTAAGCCACCGGGTCCGGGACACGAACCGCGGTCGACTACGTGGGAGTCCAGCGCCATAGCCATTACGCTAACTGCTGGTTCCCTAGGCTTTATTTTTTAGAGTAGTTTTGTAATCACAGAAAAACTAAGTGGAAGATGCAGAGACAGTTCATATACACTTTGTCCCTACACATACACAACCATGCCTATTATCAACAAGCCCCCAGGCTGAAACATTGGTTACAACTGATGAATACACATTAGTATTAGGTTATCAGGAAAGTCATCATGTGTTTTCTATACAAAAATGTGTCGTAACTTTTCCCAACAACCCAGTACCATTACTCCCCACAGTCTACAGTTTACATTAGGGGTCACTCGGGGTATTTTGCTTTCTATGAGTTTATGTGTAATACACAATTTCATGTATACACCATTATTGTATCTTACAGTGTAGTTTCGCTGATTTTTCTTTCCTCCCTGACCCCTACATTTTTATGTGAATAGAAAAGTACTTTGAAAAAGTAAATTCTCACTTACATGCCTGATCCTCTAATGGTTGTTGTCATTGCTTCAAACTGCTCGGCTTTGGAAATCACTTCTTCAAGAATCCTGTCCTGTAACCAACATATCCTTTCCTTTTAACTAGCTTGTCAATGATTCCATAATGACCTTTATGGTTTCATAGAGCTTTTGGTTTAACAGCCCTTCATTCTCATCCCTCCTCATTCACCTTTTGGTTCATGGTCCATTATTCCAGTACCATTCTTGCTAATTCCCTAACATCTAGTATACTTCACTCTTCTCATCTCTAGCTGGCAAATAAATGAACACTTGCTTTCTCTGAACCTTCCATGGACCTACCAGTTGAGCATCTGAGCAGATTAGAACCAACATAAACATATGATACCAGCTTCAAATGGGTTTTCTCACTGTTCTACCACTTCACTATATTTCCCTGAATATGATACTGCCTCATCTTAAAAACATTTTCTCAACCTTCTTTTCCTTCACACTGCTAACCTTCACCCATCAATCTTCACACACGCATCGTCTCTCCTCATTCCCATCAAATGGTTTCACCTCCTTCCTGTTTCATTGGGAAACCTGGAATCATCAAACGCTAATCTTTTCAAATACCCAGTGGCTCACAATCCTCTTTGACTCAGTCCAGTCTGGCTTCTGCCAGGCAAAGAAAAAGTCACCAGTTACATTCATTTGTTAAAATCTAATTGACCTATTTCAGCCCTTATTTTATTTAAACCCTCAGCAACATATTACTGGAAATCATTGCTCCTCCTCTCTTCTAAACATTTTTGTCTTTACTTTTTTTTTTTTTTTTAATGTCTCACCATCCATTTTCGGTCTTTATTGTTCGAATTTCTAGGATTAAGGTTCTTTCGTTTCTTTTCTCTTTAGGTCCAGGATCAGCAATTTTTTCTATGAAACACCGCATAGCAAATATTTTCAGCTTTGGAGCCATCCTATTTTTGCATCAACTACTCAAATTAGCCACTAGTGTGAAAACAACTATAGACAGTGAAAAAACAAATCAGTATGGCTGTTTTTCAATAAACCTATAGTTCCAAAAACACATGGTAAGCTAAATTTGGCCATTCTATGCTTTCTCATCATTTCTAGAATTTTACTACCATGTATTACTGTATGACTCTTGAACTAATCTCCAGTCCAACCTTCCTTTCTAGTCTTCAAATGCTTTTATACTAAATACCACATGTTAGCTGTCTCAAACTCACTGTATCCAAATCCAAAATCATGGTCTTCCCAATGAAACCAGGCCAGTTTTACTAAATGGCACCATCACCCATCCATTCGGTTCCATAAACAAGAACAAAGCAATCACCCTTGAAATCTCCCAGACCATTACCAAGCCCTGTAAAATTCATCTGGTAAATATGTCCCAATATTGTTGACTTTTTCTCCATCTTTCTGATACCACTCTAGCCCAAACTCCCTTTATCTCTGCTATGAACTAGTGCAAAGTCTCAGGCCTCTCTAGTCTCCAGTTTCTTCAATGTGCCATGCTTATTTCCAAAGTAGGACCTACATACAAACTGTTCTGTCAGTCAAGAATGTCTTTTCCATCCTTCATCCACCACCCTGAATGCTGCATGACTACCCTTCAACACAGCACAATCTCCAATGGCACTAATTTTTGTACCAATTCCCAAGCATTGCTCAGTAATTGTGTTGTCAGGAGAGATATAGTGCATTACAAGGGTCTTTGCAATTGCTCTTAGAGTATCTCCAAACCTTTAAATATCACTGATCTCCAGTTGATGAATCAACTACTCATAATAACTTTTCTAACTTCCTATCATTTAGCACATAGGTGTCTGCTTTGGACCCATGTGATCAAAGGGATCCAGAGAATCTAACTGAATTCATTATCTCTTTCCTAGGCCTAACATGTACCTAAAGTTACATAGTGAAAGCAGCTCCTTAGAAGCTTCCAGTGATGTGCAATTTTTTGAAATTTCACTTTTATTTTTTTAACATCCAATCATTGTACAGCATACAAAATGGATTTTTCCAGCATGAATACACTGTATATTAGTCCAATCAAAGATGTTACCATATACATTATCATCAACAGATAATTTTCCATTTTTGTTTTGCGCTCATCAGACGTTTCGCTTCTTTCTTTTTCCCCTTGATTCTGTTTCAACCCCCTTCCCACTGCCCACCCTCCTTCCACATTGTCTCTAATATCTACAGTTACTCTCCATGTCTTTATATCTTCCAATCTTTTAGTTTCTGTCATAGAGTGCAGACATTCAGTATATATTAAGTAGGGACATACAATGCTTCTTTCTCTTTCATAGTCTGGTTTACTTCACTCAACATTAAACTTTCATATTTGTCCACTTTGAATCAAATGCCAGGGTCTTGTTGTTTTTAATGGCTGAGTAATATTTTGTAGTGTGTATGCGTCACACTTGTTCAATACATTCATCTGTTCTGGGAAATTTGGTTGATTCTATGTTTTAACAATTGTGAATAATGTAATAAACATGGATGTGCTAGTATTTTCCAACTGAGTATATACTCCTATCCTTGGGTTAGATACCCAGGAGTGGAATTACAGGATTGTGTGGTAGTTCTATGTGTAGGTTTTTGAAACATCTCCATATTGTTCTCCACAATGGTTGTATTCATTTACATTCCCAGCAAAAGTGCAGGAGAATTCCCTTTTCACCACAGCCTCACCAGTACTTATCATTCTTTGTCTTTATAATCTTACCCTTTCTGACTGGGGTTAGATAGTATTTCAATGTGTTTTTGATTGCATCTCCTTTATGATGTTGAACATTTTTTCATATGCTTTTTGGTTGTTCGTATATCTTCTTGGAAAGTTCAGTTCATTTTCCCATCTTTAATTGGACTGATTATTTTTGGGGGGTGAGGAAGAGGGAGGCTAAACTGCTTGAGTTGCTTGTATATTCTGGTTGTCAGTCCTTTATCTGAGGCAGTTTGTAAATATATTCTCTGAGAGTTGTCTCTTCACTCTAATTATTGCTTCTTTTGTCATGTAGAAGCTTTTTAACCTGATATAATCCCTACTTGTCTACTTTATGAAATTACTACCTGTGCTTTGGAGATCTTATTTTAAAAGTCTTTGCATTTTAACAAGGTACACTTAATCCCTGCTTATTTTCTCATTATTTTATCATAAATTAAGTTATGTATCAGTATAGTTTAAAATAGTAAGTAAATGTGGGTTTAGAAACTCTGTGATAGGGACCAGCAGTTAGCATAATGGCTATGTCGCTGGACTCCCACATAGTCGACCGCAGTTCGAGTCCCGGACCCAGTGGCTTAAACTCACGCCGGGCGCGTGTGCGTGGGTGCCCAAGATCCTGAGAGGAGAATGGAGGAGAAGGATTGCGGCATGGCCGTCCCTCCTGGGGGGGTGATTTCTCGCTTTCTGTCTCTCTGTCTCTCTCTGTCTGTCTGGCGAGCGCACGCACCCTGTAGCTAAAACAGCTTCCAAAAAAAAGAAACTCTGTAATCTGCCTAGGCAAATTGTTTAACTTCTTTGAGTCCCTATTTCACAACTTATCAATTGGTAACAAAAGTGGCTTGTGGTTTATAAAACTAAAACTGAAAACTTTGTTAACTCTGTAGTATTTTTGCTAATATTTTTGTTACTATTAATAGATAGGAAATATGGTATAGTAATAGACTAATTAGACGTGCTTAAATTCCATAGCTATGAAATCAAACAATTTTCTTACTTTGAGCATTAAGTTTGAAATACAGGGAAAAAATATTTAATATTATTGTCAAGAAGGTAAAAAAATAACATGTTAAAGTCACTAGTTCCCAAAATATTCTTTTTACTTAGAATATGATCTAGTGTACCTATTAGGAAAAAGAAATTTAGAATCCAACAGCTTATTCCATTATTATTTGGATGAAACCAAGACCCTCAAAGATTGGAATATAAAACTTAGGACTTTCAGACAGAATACACTAGTTCTTAAGTATTTCAAAGTATGGGCCATGATATTTTTTGGAAAATCAGGTTTTTGTGAAGAAGGTGGTGACACCAAGACTGTAGGAGCAGAATGAGGATAATCATCACTAAGGCCAGATAAATGTGGGCCACTAAGACCCAGTTAGCAATAGGAAGAATAGTGTTTTCCTTACCTTGACTAAAGACATTTTAAAAAGGTGCTCAAGAAAGGAGAATGGCTAAAAAGCTTATGTGCATCTGGAAGGAGTCCATAATACTGCCTTAAACAATCTTACAAAGAGCACTTTGGTAAAGTGTAATAATCAGAGAGTAAAACACCTAAGTTCTCTATGGCTGAGTAGCATTCCACAGTGTATATGTGCCACACTTTTTCTTTTTTCCCTAGATTATTATTTTTATTATTCTTATTTTTTAAAATGTTCAATTGCTATACATCATTTGGCTTATAAAGAGAATTTATCCAACATGAAATACTTCTCAGACCATTCCAGTTGAGAATACTATACATGTTTTCATTAACAGGTAATAAACCATAACTGTGTCCCAAAAAATGTCATGTCTCACTATTTTTTCTTCTGATATCCTTATCTATATTCTTCCTTTCTCCCCACTCCCCTGTTCCACAGTTTTTAGCATCCATAACTATTTTCACTGTTTTTATTTCAGTCTCTACCACAGAATGCAGATAGTCAGTATGTATTAAGTGAATACATGTGCCACTTAATATATACTGGATACAAAATAAAGTGGATACACTTTTTCAATCCATTCATCTGTTTGTGGACATTTAGGCTACTCCCTTGTCTTAGCAAGTGTAAATAATGTTGCAATAAACATAAATGTGCAAACAGTTTTCCAACTAAGTATACTCCTATCCTTGGAGTAGATACCCAGGAGTGAAATTGCTGGATTATATGGTAGTTCTATTTGTAGGTCTTTGAGGAACCTCCATATTGTTCTCCACAGTGGCTGTTACTAATTTACATTCCCACCAACAGTGTAGGAGAGTTCCCTTTTCACCACAACCTCATCAGCACTTATAATTTTTTGTATTTTTAATCTTAGCCATTCTGACTGGGGTTAGGTGGTATACTTCATTGTGGTTTTCATATGCATTTCCCTTATGATAAGGGATGTTGAACATTTTTTCATATGCTTTTTGGCTGTTCATATGTCTTCCTTAAAGAGTTGTTTGTTCAGCTCATTTGCCCATCTTTTAATTGGGTTGACCTTTTTTTCTCCCTGCTTTAGCTCCTTCTGGCAAAATCTGTGTGAGTTCTGAATATCCGCTATCTTCCCTAAGTCATGTTTTCTCTAATTGTTCAATGGTGGAATGAAACTAGATCAGTCATTCTCATCACTGGTTGAAGATATATATATCCAGGAACCAACAGTTAGCATAATGGCTATGTCTCCCACATAGTCAACCGTGGTTCGAGTCCCGGACCCAGTGGTTTAAACTAACGCCGGGTGCATGTGTGTGCGTGCCCAAGATCCCGAGAGGAGAATGGAGGAGAAGGGATTGTGGCATGGCCATCCCCTCTGGGGGGTGATTTCTCACTTTCTATCTCTCTGTCTCTCTCTCTCTGTCTGGCGAGTGTATGCACCCTATAGCAAAACCCTCTCCCCCCAAAAAGAAGATTATATATATCCAGATAACTCTGACAACCTATTGTTGCATGGTCTCTACCCCTGGAGTTTCTGATTTAATTGATCTTAGGTGGGTCTCAGCCATTGGTATATCTTAAATATTGGAATGGGTTGTCACAAAAGTCATGACGTATTTTGTCTATATTTTTCTATGCAAAAATGCATCATTACTCTTCCAGCAACCCAATTGGTGGTTCTTTCATGCACTCAGGGTTAAAAACCGGGGTTCTTGATAACTTTGAGATATTTCTTAACTTCTAGAATTTAAATGGAAAGATTGGACCACAGTAATACTAAGAGAGATTAATTATATGAGACTAAACTATTGAAATAGAATTTCATGACTTTTGACTAAAACATTACTGTTTTATTCCTATGCTTTGTTTTCCAAATAAAAATTTTCGTTTCCTTTCAAACTTTTGAGAGTTCTAGCAATTTGTTTAAAAAATTTTTTTCCGAAAATGAAATTGAAACAAACTTTTCTCCCTTCCTGACCCCTCTGAAATTGGAAGGTATTTGTGAGTATTTTTATGTTGTAGCAGTATGATTATTTGCATAAGTTCAATAATACCCATTACCTTGCATCAGAAATTGGAAATACTGGTTATTGCCAGGACTTTGACTGAAATGTCATATCTGGAGATATGACCAGAAAGCTAAGGAACTAAGGCTGATCTCAAGAGAGCCAACAAAAACTCTTGGAAAGATTGCCTAGTACTATCATTTCTTGACAGGCCTGAAAACTTGCAAGTACAAGAACTTAAAGGCATATATTCAGATGTTCCTGAGTTGGTTCTGTAACCTGGGGAGGTTTGTAAGAGTCTAATCTGAAGTTCCTTGTAAAAGATTCCAGCAAAGCCAACTAAATCTGTTAGTATTGTTATTGAGCTTTGTGCAAATAACAGACCAAACTGAGCCTAGGCATATATTTTTTTACAAATAAGTTAGTTTATGGTTCTCTTTTGTAAAAGGGGGAATGAAGATAGGGAAAAAATGCTTCAGAAGAAAACTGTAGCACTGGGGACCAGCAGGTGGCATGGTGGTTAAGGTGCTGGACATTCCCACATGGCCGACCATGGTTCAAGTACCAGACCTGGTGGCTTGCTTTCTCATTCTCTCTCTCTTTCTCTCTCTCTCTCTCTCTCTCTCTATGTGTGTGTATGTGTGTGTGTGTGTGGTCAAATGAGAATAAATGAATGAATAAATAAAATTAAATTTAAAAAAATTCTTATAAATAAAAGAAAACTGTAGTGCAATTATTACTAAATTTTTGCTCTGTCCATATTTGTTTCTCCAGTTTTAGTATCTACCTACTGATTAGACAGAATCCTAACCTGTTTCCTGGATTTAATTTTAAGCAAATTTTTCTTAACTTTGTTTGATTTTGATTCATTAAAGCTAAAACTCCTTTTCTGAAATTAAAAAATAATAATAGCAAACTAAAGACAGGAGAAGGGTGAGCAATGGGAAGGGGAGAGAGAATCAAGGGAGAAAAAGGAGTGGAACATTTAATGGACACTAATATGAAAAATTGTCTGCTGATAATACGTATGATAATAACTTTGACTAGGCCAATATGCAGTGTACTCAAGGTGGCAAAATTAATCTTGTATGCTGTAAAGATATACAGTGACTAAATAATAATAATAAAATAATAATAATAATAATAAAGAACCGGAAGTTTAGATGCTAAGACCTCTTTCAATTCTGTGAATAATATGAACTACTTTACTATTACAACAAGAAACATTTAACTCTACCCTAGTGAACTCATTCATTCTTTCACATTCCTTTATAAATAATAGAAATAGTTTTTATATTTTATCCAGTAACAAAAAAAAAAAAAAAAAAAAAAAACTAGTAAAGCAGTGGAGAGAGTAAGTATTCCAGAGTCTGGGAAACCCAACCAACCTGCCATGCCAAGTCAATAATTTATACTCATGTTTCTGTATGAGAGCTGAAGACGGAGATATAGTCATGAGGTAAAGTTCATTCAGCCAATAAGACAAACGGTCAGAAACCAAGGAGTGCCAGTGAGAAAGTCTAGAGAACAATCAGGTTTCTGAATCAAGATCACATATACCAGAGGAGAGAAACCAGAGAGCTAAAGAAAGTGCCACACAGATGCAGACACTGCACAGGGTAAGAAAATAAGGTGATCACAGTAGAGTAGGACTGCTGACATTGTAAATACAAATCCGTCCACCGTCAAAGTCTAAATAATGAATCAAACCCTATAGTGCCAACAAACTTGCTCTCTTTCCCCCTCCCAAAACATTGCATGTACCCCTTATATTTATTCCTTCCACTTTGATTGTCATATATCTTCACTATCTAGTGTTAGTATTTGAGTCTCCAACTAGAGTATTAGCTCTTTGAAAACAGAAACTTTCAAATGTTCTCCTTTCTTCAAATTGCCCAACAGTGACTTATAATTGTACAGAGAATACAGCAAAGAGTTAACATAAATGTAGGTGAATTAAGGAATTAAATATCTTTCTTGAGAAAGAATAGACAAAGTACATCCTCATGTAGAACATGTCCCAACTTGGGTAAAAGCTGCTATGACAAACCTTACCTGTGTGTTGCATAATTCTGGTTGTGGACATCTCGAGTGTGCAAGAATTCCTGGGTTCACCCAGACCCCAGTTAAGTTGGAGGATACATCCCCAGTTATGTCATCTGAAGGTGGACACCAACGTGTGGAGCTGTGAGCTTCTTGGTCACTAGGACATGGGATTGGCTACAGGGATGAAGTGCAAGAGAATAGGAAGACATGGTGTTGAGTTGCTAAAATAAACTCCCTGTCAAAAATAAATAAATGTGTGACTTTTAAAAGGAATAAATATTTTTTATTCTCTGAAGACAAAAAATCTATTATATTTACTTTTTAACCAGTTTTTGTAAGTTACCAATGTTCCACCTCGTGAATGTATATAATAGCCCTCATCGTATTACATGAGTATATTAAATATCCCCATGTTGCAAGCTGATATACATAGGGCTTATACTAGGAATCCTCTGTGAGGAATAGAATGGCAGAACTAAAAAGGTCTTTTGCAGCTTACCAGTAGAGCTTGTTTGGATCATATGGAAATGAAAATATTAAAGCCAGAAGAGTTGAAATGACTTTCCATCATGACACAAGATCAAGCTCTGGAGCTCATATTTTCCCATGTTAAGGTCCATGTACTTTACTATGTACTCTATTATTAGGCTACATTGTGCTGTGATAACTACTGATACCGTATATGCTACATAGTACTATCATATAGATTCACTCTTATCATTCATACCATGCTCTATCCAGTGAAACTTGCGAACCCTTTAAAAAGGACACAGAAGACAAATCATTCATCCAGTTTGTCATGTCTTTGCTGGGTTACTCTTGGGTATATAGCAGTGTAAAACAGTTCATAACAGCAAGAAGTCTTTACTCTCAGAGAGCTAATTGCTATCAAGGAGGAAACACAGAACTATGTTCAATTAACAAATAAATGCAATAATTGTAAAGTATTGTTGAGAAGAAAGGATGGATAAGGCTTGAAAATCAGCAAGTTCCATAGGAAAAACCTTGAGGAAAAATGTGTTAAAAGAGGGGAAGAACAAGACAAAGTGAAAATAAGAGAGGAGACAGTTCAAGAATTTGTGTGTTTTATGGCAAAACTTTTGTAAGATTATCAAAAATAAAGTAGAATTATCTGGGGACTTTTTATCTCATAGGAAGATAATATTGACTTTTTAGCTGTGACTCATACGCATCTTTGGCCACTCCTTGCTAATTTCCAAAAGGAGAATACTAAAATCACTCACTTGTTGATTTGTTGGGATGATTAATGAGTAAATAACTGCAAAATACTTACAGACTGTCTGGCACATGGTACACACTTGGTAAGTGTCAACTATCATTATTGTTAGTAGCAGTAGTATTTTTAGTACTACTGGCACTAGTACTAGTTGCCTTTGGTCATGTATTAGGTTATTTGATCCATTACTAAATAGTCATAAAAGCTGAATGGCTGGCCAGACAGTGAATTTCATTAAAACTATTAAATTAGGGGCCAGCAGGTGGCATGGTGGTTAAGGGAGCTGGACTCCCAGACCTGGCAGCTTGCTTTCTCACTTTTTCTTTCTCTCTTTTACTCTCTCACTCTGTCTTTTTCTGGTTAAATTAAAATAAATAAATAAAGTTAAATAAAATACTTCTTAGAAAAACTGTTAAACTAGAATTGTATGTAATCATAGACTACCATTAGGAACTATCATTACAATACCAAAAAAAAGAATAATTTTCATTAAATACAGATAAAATGCAATACTCTTTATAGTAAACAATTAGCTAAGTTACATTTTTCTATAGTTACATTATCAAAGAAACCAAGATATCAGCTCTATGTTTTATTCAATTGATTGAATGGAATTCCACCCTTTATGAACTAGGCAAATTTGAGGAAAGTTGAACTTACCTTTATTAACACCCTTGCTTATTTTCCTAAGTGCCGATTCTGTTGCCTTAGTTATATCCACTTTGCCTGTGGCTGGTGAACCTGAACACTCACTGTGCTCTGTAAACAAAGTAAAACTCACTCACTGGACCAGTCTTCCGGAAATTTCTGGCCCTGGTGGAATCCCAGTCCTTTCAAAGAAGGAAAATGATGGTTGGGTATATGGGAAGGATGGAGAGTTTGTGATCTAGGCTCAACTTGGGAGTAATCTTGCAATCCGAGTAACACTTTTAGTGTGTTAGATTGCTCAACTCTTAGTACAGGTGAAGTCTCTATCCAAACTGGATCACTGTAAAGCCATGAATAATGTTTAATCAGATAATCCACATTAGTCAATGGCCATAAGTAACTGAAGTATATTAGATGTGTTAACCAAAAAAAGTTCTATAGGGTTTTTCCCCCTAACTTTGTAAGGATTAATTTCAATCATGGATTCCCAATGGCAGAATAAAAATGCTAACATTTATTTTATGTTTGCTTATAATCTTCAAATAATTTTCAAATTCCATTGTTGATTTTGGTTTTAAGAGAATATCATTTTTTTAATAAATTTTAGCCTATTTTTAACTATTATACCTAGATATAATAAAGTAAAATATTTTGTCATATATTCAGATATATACTATAAAAACAATTTCATATACTATTTGTGACCATCTAAAAATGTGTTGTTATCTAGAAAAACTATCAACATGATGAATACCTGGCTAAAGGGACTTGCTTTCCATCTGAGTATTTGGGTGTCTTAAAGATCCAACTATAGAGTGTCAGACACAAGAAAGAGACAGAGTATTTTTAGGATAGTCTTTTTTTTGATAATTCAAAAGAACTTTTTTTTTTTTTTTTTTTTGGCAAATCAGGAATTCTCCCTGGGCCTCTTGTATTCAACTTGGAATTACTGAGAAACAGGATTTTCTTCTTTGGTTTCCTCACATGCATTTTTGTTTCCTCCTCAAGTAGTAAATGTGAACTTACCATTTTAATTTTCAATGTGTTCTCCCTTTGTTCTAATGTCAAAAATTATTAGGTCATATATAACCAGATACATATGGAACTTGTGATAACTACATGCTGAAGGCTTGGTTCTCAGTGCGAAAACATTTTTTTAAATATATGAAATAGGGTTGGGTAATGGTATAGCAATAATACAACTGGACCCACATGAGACAAGCCCTGGTTTGTATCCTGGGATTTTTTTTAAGAATTATTTTATTTAACTTTATTTATTATTATTATTTTAATTTGACCAGAGAGAGAGGGCCAGAAAGAAAGCAAGTCTCCAGGTCTGAGACTTGAACCACAGTCGGCCATGTGGGCATCCAGCACACTTAACCACCATGCCATCTCCTAGCCCCTGTATCGTGGGATCTTCAGGAGCATGTCAAAATACATGTTCTTGGTCCCAGCATGAAAGACTCTGTTGGGGTCTCTTTCTCTCTCTGTCTCTCTTCCTCCCTCTGTCATTAAGTGAATAAACTTAAAAATAGATAAAAAGCGTTGTCAACTAGATAAGTTAAAAAAAAATCTCAATTTTTTACAAAATAGAGAAAGTGATCATGTTTTTACATGTTGCACATAGTTTTAGAGGATTTACTTCTTAGGTTTAAAAAGGCTATTTAAGATTAACATCTGGTTTTCTTGCATAGCTAGAAATCTGAGTTTTGACAGGTCTAGAAATTATCTACGAAAACCTAGCTGTCTAATGGTAAATATATAACAATAAATAAACCAATGACATTATTGGGGCTTTATGTTTATATGATGCTGGATATAAAAAGCTACATAGAGAAGCCAGCAGATGGCGTGGTGGTTACATCACTGGACTTCCACACATGGCCAACTGTGCTTCAAATACTGAACCCAGTGGCTTGAAACTCACGCCAGGCATGTGTGTGTGTGTGTGTGTGTGAGAGAGAGAGAGAGAGAGAGAGAGAGAGAGAGAGAGAGAGAGAGAGAGAGAGAGAGAGAGAGAGAGAGAGAGAGAGAGAGTGTGTGTGTGTTTGTCCAACATCCTGGGAGGAAAATGGAGGAAAAGGGGTTGTGGCATGGCCGTCCTCCCTGAGGGGTGATTTAATACTTTTTTTCTCATTCTCTTTGTCTCTCTCTCCAGTGAGTGCACATGCACTAAGGCATAAACCTCTTTTTAAAAAAGGCTATATGGACTTATTTGTATATAATAGGGTTATAGAAACATTCCTAATACTTTATATCTACAAATACTTGAAATAATTTCAAAATAGAATATAGCAAAATAGAGCATGAGAGTTGAAGCATAAATGTTTATACAAGATTATTCTTCCTTTGGAGAAGAATACAGAATTATGACCTCAAGTGCATAATAGTAAAGAGATTAGATTGCTTATAAATGCTGAAAATGATACTGTAAAATATTAAAATGGAGTAACAATACTCACTGGCTGGTTTCCAGATGGTTCAACATTTACTACGTATTTTCCATGCTTTCTGTCCATTCTTGAGCTGCCAGTATCACAAGCTTAACTCCAAGAATATTTTTCAGTTTGTCCATGCCCTTTATATCTGCAACCATGAGAAATAATAAAAGCAGCTGGTTGAAAATCAACAATGATGCATCGATACAGGTGTGGGTTAAATTAAATAATTATTATTCACTAACATGGGATCCACCTTAGGCAAGGAAATGAAGTTTAATTACAGAAAGGCACAAGAAAACCAAGAGTGGCTCTGAGAGCTTACTTTGACTACCTTTCACAACCTTCTTGACCAAACAAACTCGAAATCTTACATAATCCCTGCTTCTTTTATCTTTGACCCTGTCTTTCAGACATCTGTCTTCTGATTTAGATTCAAAGCAAGAAAAACATCTTGAGGTAAAAGTTTGTCATTGCTTTCTCTCCTCAAGCTTAGGTATATTTTTCTCCTCTGCTGGCACCATCTCTTAGGCACCCATTTCCTTGGGGACATTTTTCAGTCCCTGAGTTGGTGTCTCGAGGTTTGTTTGGCCAGTTCAGGTATTTCGCACACACTCAAAACTATTAGAATGAGTTTCCTGGGCAACAGTGCCCAAGAAGTGGTGTAATACAGTATTGAAAAATCTTTAGGAAGAGGTTTGCTTTTTTGTGCTTTTGTTTGGTTTTGTCTCATTTTTGTCAGGAGATCTAGTTTGTATTCATTGTAAAAGGATTAACTTTTTTATTGGTTTATTTACTCAGTAAGTGAGAGTATTAGATTTCAAAAGTGTGCTAGGCACTTTTTTAGCGTAAACAGTTCAGTAGCACACAAAGGACCACACCCTTATCCTCTTTGGGTATGATACTTTGGATTCTGAATTTTTTTTCCTGAAGTTTGGCCCTTTGAAAAGTATGTTATGAAAGAATAATAGAGCTTCAGCTTAATGAGTTTTACTGGGTCAATTAAAGCATCATAGCTTCAGACCTTAGAATGTAAAAAACATGGAAAACTGAGGAGAAATTGAAAAGCTAGGAAGAAATTTGTTCTCTAAAAAGGACTTAAAAATATGACGACTTGCTACAATGTGGATGAACTTTGAGGACATTACGTTAATTGCAATAAACCAGTCACCAAAAAACAAATATTGTATGATTCCATTTTCATTAAGTGCTTAGAGTTGTCAAAATCATAGAGACAGAAAGTAGAACGGTAAAGAAAGGGGCTTTGGGTAGGGGGAGAGGGGAACTACTATTTAATTGGTATGAAGTTTAATTTAGGAAGATAAAAAGCGTTCTGGGGATGAATAGCGGTTATAGAAACAGTGTTGTACATTTAATACCACTGACAGTATACTTAAAAATGACTAAGATAATAACTTTAATGTTTATTTTATCACAATAAAAATATGTCAAACAAAAGCATGATGACTTACGACTGCAGGAACAAAACCAATGACACTGTTGAATGCCCACAGGGTATAAAGGACAGATCAAAAGCTGAAGGTGTCAATAATATTAAACATATTCTTCAAATAAACTGATTTATTTGAATATCAGAATGACACATTTATCAAACAGCTAATACAATTTTAATTGTATTTTATTTAAAATATTACAATTGTATTCTGCTGAGACATTTTCTTTGGCTCTAGACCAATGTAGCACGGTGCGGATCAAACTCCACCACTGTTGACAACATATGCACATCATACCATGATGTAAAGAGTGAAAGATTACTCTTGCCACTTGAATCTCAACCTTACTATTTTTAATAACCCATAATCCAACCAGTCCTAAACCTCACAATGTTTGGAAAAAAATATATGTTTTTGTTTAAAATTTTTTAATGGTAATAGAAAAATAAAACAACAAATTACTCTATGGCTAAATTTAATAGGTAAAAATCAGATTTTTCTTTATTTTGAAAGAATATTTTTTCAGCATGTATTTCTAACAGTTCTGTGACTGCCTTAATTCAAGGTCAAGGTCGACAGAAAAAGCAGAATACACTTGAATTGTTATAATAAACAGAAAGCCTGGGTATCTCCTATTACAGTGTCAGAACCTCCCATGAATGTTCTGAGCAATATTTATAGCCAAAAAAAATTTTTTGAAAGACTTGTTGGCTGATATCTGGCTGAAAGGACTCTCTTTGATAGCTGGCCATTATTGGTGTGTGTGTGTGTGGGGGGGGTGGTTCAGGTAGAAAGGTAGGGAGCTTGATTTTTAGTCAACTAATAGAGAAATCGCACTGTGATATCAAACGTTAGGTCAAACTGATTTTTTTTTAAATTATGTCACTCAAACAAGAATTTTCTTACTTAAATTTCTTTTTAAGAGATATTTTTACTATAGGGACGTTCACTCACCAGAGTTACAGAGAGACAGAAAGCAAGAAATCACTTCCCAAGGGGGAATGGCCATGCCACAATACCGCTCCCCTCTTCTCCTCTTGGGATCATGGGTCCACACACACACATGCCTGGCATGAGTTTTAAGTTGCCAGGTCATGGATTTGAACCTCAGCTAACTACGTGTGAATCCAGCAACAGAACCATTACGCCATCTACTAGTCCCTTATCCAAAAGTTCTATATGGTCTGATTATTATTTCTTGGGTTGACTAGTAATCTGAAAGACAACGTGACTTTTCATCCCTATGATCTCAGACATTTTAAGGAAAGGAAGTATTGTACATGATTTTTCATTGTGTTATTGACATTACAACCAAACAGTAGACATAGAATTTCTAAGTCTAAGTAAAATAGTTACATGTAACCCCATTAATTCAAAAATACTAAAGATCCTTGTAGAAAAAAACTATCAAAGAAAATAGAAGCAATCATTAAAAGTAAAAATTAAAATAAAAGTATTCTGCAAATTTATATATATAATTGACAACACTATGCAGGTGTTCTTTATCAATTTTTTTACAAAGCTGAGCCAATACCTACAGCAGATATTTTCTTACAAAATCAAAGGTAATCAAAAACTATTTAAGCAATGCAATAGAATTATAATAATTAGCCCTACTCAGAATAGAAACTTCAGGAGGTAAAACATGTTTTGATTCATATCATCAAATTTTCTAATTTCAAATTTAAAGTCTACTTATACATTTTAAATATGGATATATTGACAAAACCTGGTCTTTCATTAATTTATTCTGAAGTATTTCTTGAGGGCCTAACACATCCTATGCATGTCTTGAACCAGAATATCAAGTTAGTAATGATCAAGACTCTGGCTTACACTCTATTCTTTCGTTATTGAATGTTTGGCTTTTGCTTTTAGTTTTTAAATTCATTAAAAATTTGGGGCCAGCAGGTGGTGTAGTGGTTAAAGTACTTGATTCCCACATGGTTGACCAGTCCTGGACCTGGCAGCTTGAAACACACTGGGTGCATGTGCTTGGATGTCCAAAATCCTGAGAAGAGAATAGAAGAGAAGGGATAGTAGTGTGGCCATCCCTCCTGGGGGTTGATTTCTTGCTTTCTGTCTCTTTGTATCTCTTTTTTTCTCTCTCTCTCTCTCACTATTGAACTCACATACCCATAGCAAATATCTTTCTTAAAAAATTTATTTATGATGTAATATTTTTGTTTAATATTAATATTTTCTTTAATTGGATATTATGCTTATCTCTTTTTTTTTCTTTTTGGTTCATGTAAAGAGAAGCTTTTTTTGTATGTTGGGGATGGTTCAGAATGGTTAGTATAGATCAGCTTCTACCTAATTAAGGACAACTGCATAATTTGTCTCTATTTAACCATAGTGACTAGAAATTTGTCACTTTTCTAAGGGATGGTTTTCATTTTAGGGTCACCTTCACTCTTGAGAGTTTTTTCTTCTGTTTAGCTGAAATCATCCTTGCTTCTTTGGTTGACATACATATTGACCCTCCTATCTATAGATACTCAAAATAAAACTAATTTTTTCTTCAGTATATGGGTATGTGATCTCTGATGCACAACTTCGAAATCTAAAACACTTTGGAAAATACAAATGATTTTGTACATTTGGCACAAATTTATTTGGCAGCAAGTGCTAATCCAAACAAATCTATTTTTAGTCTTTAAGAAATTTAGCATAATTATTTGTATCTTCAATTACAAAATATTAATGTGTATTGCAGGCCACTTCCACATGTGTAATATATAGTGTGTGTGTGTGTGTGTGTGTGTGCACATATACATATATGTATATATATATATAATATTGCCTTTAGACATTTTTAAAATATAAATTATGAAACATATCTGACCCTAGCTTTTCATGAGAGACTATGGGTTTGTAGAAATTTTACAAGTTTTAAAAGATAGTTTATGCTCCACCTATTCTTACTGCACTGAAAAACTGTTTAATAAAATATTTCAATTAGTGGAACCAGCCTATGGTGAAATGGTTACGTTGCTGGACTTCCATGTAGTCAACCACAGTTCAAGTCCCAGACCCAGTGGCTTGAAACTCACACCAGGCACATGTGTGTACATGCCCTACATCCCAAGAAGAGAATGGAAGAGAAGAGATTGCAGCGCGGCCATCCCCTGAGGAATGATTTCTTGCTTTCTGTCTCTCTGTCTCTGTCTCTCTGGTGAGCACGTGTGCCCTACAGGAAAAATCTCTTTAAAAAATTCAATTAGTAAACTGACTCTTAGTTTAAAACTGGCATTTTATTATGTAGATAAAATATCCCACTCTGGTGGGGAATGTAGACTATGAGGCTAGTGGGGTTGATGCCTTGGGGGGGCAGGCCTCAAAATTTTTTCCTCTCTGTACATTCCACTCATATTTTCTGTTACTCTAAATCTACTCTAAAAAAAAATTAATTTAAAAAGAAAGAAACGAAAACAGATGATGGCACAGTGGTAACACAACTGAACCTACATGGGACGGTCCTGGGTTCACTTCCCAGAGCCTCCCTGTCACTAGACACACACATGCCAGTGATTTAGGATGGCTAAGGCTGGGGGTAGATCACACTGTGAAGATCCTGTTGGGTGTACCTGTCTATCTCTTCCTCTCATGGAAAAAATAAACAAATAAGCCACAACAAAGCAACCATGATCTTTCCAAAACAAACAACAACAACAAC